GGGGGGGGGGGGGAGTTTTTGACTTTAATGTCACTTTAAAGTACGGCTCTAAACTCTAAAGCCTTTTTCAGAATAGGATTTCTATGAGGTGTTTGTTGCCGTCTGGGGATGACTGGGTTGAATAGCCTTGTCTATTTGTCCTGGTGATCATTGTCACTGGATCATTGTAATAGGAAATCTGAAATGTTACAATTGTCACTAAAGTGGGAGGTGAGTCACAATCCCCCGGTGATACCGGTCTATTGGGTATACATCAATATCTATTTATCCCTCCCTGTTAGGTTAAAAATAAGTGTCTTTGATCAGTTTCAAGGCAGCATTACACAAAGGATTCACCACGGCTGAAAGAAATAATTACTTCAGGCTGAACAAACAAGTTTGTTTCAAGCTAAGTTTAGACACGGTCTTTCTTGTGGTATCTAGCATAGCTGGGTGCCTTCACAAGTGTTTGTACAAATTAAATTATACATTGTAATTGATTAAACCATGCCCATGCCCATGCCATTGATGCTAGCGTGGTGGCATATGTGGAAGGGGATGAGTGGACCCTTGCCATCTTGCTAAGGGATACTCTTTGCCTCCTCTCTATGTTGGGGGGGTGGGGGGGGGTTGTGCTTGGTTCTTTACAAGCCATGGATTTAGCCCCCCTTCACAACTGTTGGTGAGGGTTTCCTCTTTCCCCCCTCTTTGTGTGGGGGGGGGGGGGGGGGGTTGTGCTGTGTTCTTTACAAGCCATGGATTTAGCCCCCCTTCACACATCTGCAATGCCACACCGAATGGGCTGCTTACCACAGCTAAAACGCACTCAAAGAAGTGCATGCACCTTTTGTTAAAATCTCATTGCACCACAATTCGCTGTATTAGGTTACCATGCATGCAATGCAACACACATGTGAAGGCTAAGTGTGTTGGGGTGCCTTAAAGAAATAATGGCACAGGGCGCCTAACATTGCAACATGTGATTTCTTCCAATGCGGGATAGCATGCAATGCGCATCACAGAGATGTGAACAAGTGCTGAGGTAAGAGTTCCTGATTCATGGGTGTACAGATAGGTTGTCTCTTTTTATTGGGGTGGTCGGTGAGTAAATATTGATAATGTTATTTTTGATACAGACACCCATGTGCTATATGTACTTTCTTTATGATACGGCATGGACAGGTTCCCTCAAACCGTGACTGGACAGTTTTTGAAGGTAATCTACTGACACTGTTCTATTTATTCTGATCATTAGGTTTTTTTATACCACCTTACTGATGCAAGTGCAAGATCATCTATGGCAACGGAATAACAAATTAATAAGGCTGTGTAAAGGGCTTTTTACATTTTGTCCTTTCGGATTTCATCCTTTGACATTCATTGATATCTTAATAATAATCTAATATGAAGATTTTACAAGGCCAAAATGAGTGTCCTATAAAGAAATATAACGATGCAGGTGCTGTTCGAGTATTCTGCTGCAGTGGTTGCTGAATACAATCAGCAACCACTGCAGGCCAAGCATGGCTATTTACAAAAGGGTGAAGAGATTGGAGAAGGCCGGATAAGTGAAAAATTAATCTCACTTTCCAGCTCAGCTATGTTGACCTAGACTGTTCACTTCTCCTGACTTCTCCAAACTCTTTACCTTTTAGTGAATATCCCTGCAGGTGTATGGCCAGCTTTAGTCCCCCACCCATTAGTCTACCTTTGATTTATAACTAAGACACTTGATTTGTGGATTTGGATTTTTTGGATTTTTTTTTACCAAAAACATTTAGCAGAATACATTTTGGCCTAACTTTAGGAAGAAATTAGATTTTTTTAAAATATTTTGTATAACAAAAAGTAGAAAATATCATTTTTTTCCAAAATTTTTGACCGGGGATGTCCTGTTTAATAAAACATTGGCTTCAGTGAAAAACATTGAGCTCTGCAAAGCTCTCAAACAGGACATCCCCGGCATCCCTTTAGACGGGCATGTTCCGTGCCCTTCTCTGGATGTTCTTCACAACGGTGTTGAAAACCGGTGCCCGGGAACA